TCAATATATATATATATATATATATATATATATATATATATATATATATTTCAGTTACATGTGCTTGTGAGACTTTTTATTTATACCAACCCTTTTATTTAATCAGAAAGAAGCTTATCAAAACATGGATTTTGAGATTTAAAATCTTTTATAAGCTTTAATTTTATACTTACTGTCTTATACATATATTTACTAAATTAAATCGTTATAAATTATATGTATTTTGTCATTATTTTAAAATTATGAGATAATTTTAATTGTATTTTTAAAATTTAAAATTTTCAAAAATATTTCTAATTAAAATATGTGTGTATATATATATATATATATCTATACAAATATCTTTTAAGATAAATTCGTTGAGATTTAATTCAATTTAATCATCGTAGTACTATCAACGTATTAATATTTGAAATATTTAATTTTATTGAATCAAATATTATAAACTGACTATCATAAACTCATAATACAGTAATAACTTATAAGTTAATCGTAAAATACGAAACATTTTATAACTCTCCTATTTTCTCATAACTAAGGCTAAGAGAAATAAGTGATACTTATGATATAGGTTTCCAAGCTTTCTTGCATGCCTACATTTTTTAAAACAATTCTATACGTATAGATGTGGTGGGCACACCAAGTCCATGAGCTAGAGAGATGGTGTGTGAGTGTATATATATGTATATATTATATGTATATATGTACAACTAATTAAGGTTGATTTCAATTCCATTCACTATAAATAAAAATATAAAATATAGATTATATATATATATGTATGTATGTATATATGTATGTATGTACATATTCAATATAATATAGTCAAACCCAGCAAACCATCTACACATGTGAGTATATACGTATATGTAGATATTATGTACGTATATGTGAGTGCATGCATGCTTAAAGAGTAGAAAGTAATAACTTAGAAGTGTTACTTTGAGTAAAGTGGAGAAGTCAAGTCTAAATGCAAATTTGTATTTGTTTACTTAATTAATCAAAAAGCTAACCTAGTTTTTGGGTGCTAATATATTTACTCACATACACACACACACACGCATATATATGTATATATACATGTATGCAATGACTATATCTATAGATTATATATGGAGAGAAATCAACACCATGTTAGGCAACAATTAAGACATTGAAAATTCAAATACGACCTAACCAATTGATCAATCAACTTAAAGATTAAGACAACCAATCTTTCAATTTATTAATTTCTTTTCAAATTTCGATTGCTACTCTTCTGAATTCACGTAATTAGACATATACAATCCACAAATCTATTCTGTAACTAATTTTTCAAAATCAGTTTGCGTAATAACACATATAATTATATTAATACACAACGAACTATATGTAAATTTTTAAAACATAAAATCTCTTGCAAAAATCTAAACATTTAAAAAAAAAATCAATTAAAAAATTCTTTTGTACGTTACTAAGTGGTTAACTTTTTTTAAATGTGATAACTAATTATCGACTTTAATTTTAAATTTTAAGTAAGTGACTAATTCCAACTGGGTCGAGTTATATAATAGATTACTGGCTCGATTAAATTCAATAAATGTGTCTTAATTGAGAAATACAAAATCAAAAAAGAGAAAAAAAAAATAGTGACCCACAACTATAATTAATAAATTATAAGAATTTGGAAATCAAGCACTAGTCATATGAAAATGATATGAGAGGCTTCTTCATATATATGTATCTCATCTTTGACTTTGTCCCCATCAATATATATATATATATGTATATATATATATATAAATTTTAGGGTTTTTTAATTTTTTATCAATAGATTCTCTTTAAGTAGAAAGAGGAATTAAATTAAATTAAATTATAGAGAGTTATTAGGATAGGACTTAAAATTTTTGCCCCAATTTGAGGTTACTTGGAATAAATAAATTAAAAGTACAAAGCAAGTATGATTATATTTTTGCTATATATATAACCATAGGAAAGTGTAATATCCACTTGAATAAGTTAATATATTACTTTTAAAAATTAGTGTGTACATACATATATATATATATATATTATATGTATATGGGTTAATTTTTGTTCATTAAAATTTAATTACTTATAATTGAACAATATTCTTTTTAAATAATAAATTAAAATCAAATGTAATTCAATCAATTATTTATATTCTAACATGTTATCTTACATAAATCCGTTATGTATATATAAAAATTAAATTGAATATTGCATGATATTTTAGTTGATTCCGTACTTTAATATAAAATAAATATATAAATTCACCTTTTGTAAAAATAAATAAAATAAAAATATGTAAATTTTCATATTATAGAATAATAAAAAATATATATATATAATAAATATTTTTGTTTCTATTATATGTATTTATGTATGTGTTTATTTAAAAATATATATATAAATACAATAAATCAAACATAAACAAGTATTATTTTTATTTATATAAAATTATGGAAGGATAAGAAATTCTCTCCCTGTCGTATAATAATTTTATTATTTAAATTAAAAAAAATTAAAATTAAGAAAAATGAATTGACAAAATTACCCCTGCCTTGGAGGTGTTTTTCGTCTTTTCGCATTTCAAGTCCTCGAAGACATTTACGCGGGCAGGTGCTCCGTGCTTCGTGAAAGCACACTGTGTCTTGCCGGGCCCACCGAATCACTTTTTAATAACTTTATATTAATGATGATGTCTTCTCT